TACAAAAATTATATTCATTTATAAGAGTATAATATCCTGAAATTCTGGTGTAGTCACAAATATTGATTGTTTCATGTTTGTTTTTAATGTATATATTTTAATATATTTTAAAAGTAAGTTCAAAATTGATGGAAAAAATAAAATAAAATTTAAATATCTTCATTTATTTGTTATATTTTTCTTAAAAACACAAAATAGTTTAAAATCATTCAAATATATATTATTCTACAAAACCTACGCGCTGACAAACCACTAGTACCAATGATTTTAGAGCTCGTCAAGACATCTTTTTTTTCAGGTACAAATCACATTTTCACTCGTGGTGTTATAGCAGAGACAGAAGTTTCATCCGCTGCAGTATTGGAAAAATGAATGATTTATGAAGCCAAGAACATTAGTACAAACAAGGGTAAAGTTCAAAGCTTTTGGGATCAATGACCATAATCTTGCAATCTTTTCATCTGTTCATCAACATGTATTATAAACTTGGATCAGAAACAACTTCAGGTGATTTTTTTAAAAGAACACAGATTCAGCCATGGGTTCACTGGTTTAAATAGAACGGAACAGAACCCGTAAATCCACCAGCGCGTTATGTTTTGTTGTCCCAAGTTGTTCACACATCTAAAATCTTCCCGAGGAATGTGACCTCTCACTGCCTACCCGCTCCTAGGAACTTAGGCCCTGCCAATTCACATAAACCATGTAAATGTGGTGACTGATTCAGATATTTTTGCGATATGTAAACACAAAATAATCATTGGTATCAGTTGGAACCTAAGATGAAACAAGACTAATCTCACATATTATGAACAGCATATGAAAAAAGCAAGAGTAAGAACTAGCATTACGTATGTACCATAAGAGTAGATTATCACCATGCAAGTCTAATGTTTATTGTCTTTGAACTTTCATTAGAGACTGTATAATATATGGACATCATATGAAGAACATTGACATTAATGTTTTTGGGAACTTATAATAAAAAATCATCAATGTATTTTCTTGAATAAAAATACTACTAACTATAACGAACTGTATAAGAAAGCAATAGACTAAGTCCAACTATTCACATTGTGAACTAAATTGTGTGTCGAAAGCAGCAGTGAAGCATGCCCATATTAAAGTTTCACACAAACAATGACCATAACCAAACATTGGCCTACCCTGTAAATGATCTGGTAGATTCCAGTTAGAAAGCTAAAGGCTTTGGTCATGACCCCTAGAGTGAATTAGATTTAAAAAACAGCATTAATGGAGCTTGTGTCCGTCTTGTTACCAAACTAACAGCAAACAATCATCCCAAACACATGAGCCATTTTTTATCTATCTCACTAAAATCATCCTCTATACATGACCCAGCATAAGACACTACCCTAAGACTTGTACAGAATCCACAGGAAGTAATATAAAAAAGAATGATCAAAAATCAAAAACAGACATAAAAAAAAAAAACCAACCTTGAGGAACCGATGTTGATGTTCCTATGAAGAACCCTACCACGACCAGCATCCCCACCATCGATCAACTCCTTCAAACCCAAATTCTCCACCTCCTCCTCTTTCACCTCCTTCTTCTCCTTCCCAACACCGCGACTCGGTATCTTCACGGGCAACCTCTCGAAGTAATTCCCGTAGATATACTCAGGCGTGTACCCATCCTCTTCATCGAAAAGCATGATGTGCCCGTGCCACTCCCACACACGATAATCCGATTCCTCATCCTCATGGAACCCCACGCAGATATGGTGCTCGTTGACCGTCACGGCTTGTCCTGAATTCGGCTTAAGAGAATCGGTTCGACCCGAGAGGATTACTCGGGTTAGCTCTTTCTCAAGCCTGGCTTCTTCTCGTTCGAGATTGTTTTGAGAATCTCTGTCGTATTCTTCATCGTTGTCGTCGGATTTGAAGAGGAGGTCGTCTAGGGATTGAGAGAGGAAATGGGAGTTTGGTTGACGGATTTGAAGGCGGCCGAGTAGGGTTTGGATTAGGAGGTTTTCGGTGTTGATGTTTCCGTTGAAGGAGCTCATGGTTGATCGTTAATCAATCGTTCCTCCTCTCGTCTTCTAACCTGTGGAGAGGTCTCACTCGGGTTTTAGGGATAGGAAAGGGTTTTTGAAGACCAATACCAGTTTTACATGTAAACGTGGGTAATAGACTAATAGTAAAACTGTAATATCCAGTAACAAAAAGAAGAGTAAAACGGTGATATCTACTTTGTTCAAGTTTTTTTTTTTTTTTTTGTTAAAAATGTTAAATTCATTACCACTTTTCATTTTTTATAGAGGAAACAAAATGTAGAGATGTAAAAAGTAAGCTAACACAAACTCAATCCAAATTTCAAGATCACACTAGATTTTGATCCGCCCTTACAAAATGCAGATTTATTTTCGAAACTAAATAATTTCTTCTAAATGAAAATTTAAATGCGATTTTGATCCGTGATTTTTTTACCCCAAACAAAAAAACAAATGGATAACTAAATTAATTTTTTTCCAGAATTATCAAATATTTTAATTTAAACATACGATTTAAGCTGAAAACCTCTAAATTATTAGATAGGATTTATAAAGTGAAGTAAATCTATTTTTATTAAAAAAGATTCATGGCAAATTTATTTATATGTATATTTACTATCAAGCTATAGAAATGAGGTAAACATTTTAGCCAATTTATCAATGTGTATCTTGTTACACGAAGTTTGGATTTTCATTCTCTTTAAAAAGATAAAAATAATTATATCGGTTAGCTTGTACGTTAACAAAATAAATATAAAGAAATCACAAATCTATATAAGATGTTAAACTTACATTAGCATCACATAGGATTAGTTCCATAGATTCTCCAACGTCTTTCTTAAAATGTCTCCATGTATCAATGATCTACACTTGGATGTGACATGGCGTCTTGCGTGGTTTGATATCGTTCAAGAAAGTTAGCTACATATTGTTCGTCATCTTTTTTTTGTATCAGTAGGTATGATAAATATCATGGTTAACTGATCGTATATTTATAATAGGTAGGTGGTATAGCAAATTTAGGTTACGCAAATGTAGATCAGATTATTTTAAGGATTTGATAAAATATGTAACTTTGTGGAATAATGAATATTATACGAGTATATTGCAATTAGAATAAACTTTTTAAATTTTGAAGAGTTATTGCTAATCCAATTAAAGTAGGTTAGCGATAGTTCTGTAAGAATAAGGAAAATAATAACTAATTTTGATATTAAATAAAACTTGTCGACGGAGTAATAAAAACATTTCCGGATTTTGTTATTAAATATCGTATATACAATATATCGCTAACTAAAATATTTGCTCAATACATTTAAATTGATTTTCTTTTTTTAAATTGGTCGTATACATTACCTTATATACCAATATATTGTTAATTTAAATTTGTAATTATCAACAAATCATATATACAATATATAGTTAATTTAAATTTGTAATTATCAGCCAATCAAAACTATAGGTATTTGAATGACGGATTCAAACCCACTAAGACCCATAGAAACCGACCTAAACCAAAAAAATCAAATATCTTATCAGGTCCAAATGTCTAGGACCTACAGAATTCAGACCCACAAGAAACCTATCCGTACTTGACCCGTATGCCTTTTCATACTCTCTCTAATTATATTTTTAATGTATTTTATAAAAATTATATTTATTGAGTCGATAATATTTAAGATTTACTTGGCAGATTTTGGATAATTTAATATTATACGAGTATATTGCAATTAGAATAAACTTTTTATTAATTTTTAAGAGTTAATGATAATCCAATTAAAATAGGTTAGCGATAATTCTGTAAGAATAAGAAAAATAATAACTAATTGTGATATTAAATAAAACTAGTAGATGAAGTAATATAAATATTTCCGTATTTTGTTATTAAATATCGTATATACAATATATCGTTAGCTAAAATATTTGCTTAATACATTTAAATCGATTTTCCTTTTTAAATTGGTCATATACAATATCGTATATACCAATATATTGTTAAATTAAATTTGTAATTATCAACCAATCTTATATACAATATATAATTAATTTAAATTTGTAAATATCAACCAATCAAAACAATATGTATTTGAATTACTAACTCAAACCCACTAAGACCCATGAAAACCGACCCAAACCAAAAAAAAAAAAAAAAATCATATTAGGTCCAAATGTCTAGGACCTACGGGATCCATACCCGCAAAAAAACTATTGTACTTGACCCGAATGCCCTTTCATATTCTCTCTAATTATATTTTTACTGTATTTTATAAAAGTTATATTTGTTGAGTCAATAATATTTAAGATTTACTTGGCAGATTTTCGATAATTTAATAGTATAGATTTATAAGGTTTTTAATAGCTTTTAAACTTATAATAAATAACAAATCTTTGTTATAAGTACTTTTTATAAAAATTAATTAATGTAATATATATAGTTTTGTTTTTAACAGATGGTTTGTTAAAATGTTTTTAGAAAAATTTATTTTGTAAATATTTGAAACTATATAATATAAGATAATGTGATATAATATGTTGTATGCTATATACTAGCTTATTTTAATAACTGATGTTTAAATATTGTAGGTCTATTTTTAAGAATAAGATATGGTGAAACATTAATATATAGGTCTGTATATAAAAAACATTTGATTTCAGATATATATTGATAGGTCTGTATATTAAATACATATGATTTTATATATCTATAATAAAACATGTGCGACATTATATCGACTAAGAGAGAATAAATTATGGATAGAGTAATAGATGGTAAAATAGATAATATATGATTTTATATATCTATACGAAAACATATGCGACATTATAAGGACTAAAAGAGAATAAATTATGGTTAGAGTAATATATGGTAAGATATATGATATGCGAAATAATAAGTAGACCAATTTATTTATTAGTCAAAAAAACCATTTTACCACTAATTAATACGTACAGTAACCTTGTATAAGTCGATTTTTCAAGACCGGTTCTCTTTAATATATAGATAGTCAAAACAAAGCAACTAAAAGCGAAGGAAACATCAAATCGGAACAATCACTTGCCGCAAAATCAAATTCCTAGTGAATGCGAAAGCTGAACCCGGTAGAATTTGGCTTACCCAATAATCAGCTCTTAAGAATCGGATTCATTAAGAACAGCTTACGAAGTCCTACTAAATTGTGTCCTTCACAAGCAGACAGTTTCACAAAAGAACAAGAACACCCAAGCGGAAAAGGACGAGCTTTATTCAGAGAAGGGGCAACCAAGAACCGCCACACACCATCTAACCTACACCAAAACGACAGAGATATGAATTACAGAGAGAAAAGATAACTTTCACTTTTATTCAAACTTTCTCAATACATTCTACGTTACATTGTTTGGTGTTTTATAGAATGCTAAGAAGGATCTAGGCTCTCCATAGCTGTCATGATGACTCACTCATTTACAGCCAAAAGAGCAACAAATCTATTGTATAGTTGTGGCTGTGACTCCTCATGTTGTTTTCCCTTTGCAAGTACAAGCTCTGAGACCGTTGGAGAAAAACGTTTTCTTTGCTTCTCTTTATCTTTATATTTATCTGAAGTGGGTTTTGGTGTTGGGCATGAGTACATTGGACTTACATTTCCCTTAAACTTGGGGTGGTTTGAGATAACACACCAAGTTTGGTTCGTAGATCACAGAAGAGACGACGTGAAAGTGACTTAGTGAAAACATTCGCAAGCTGCAACTCTGAACTGATGTGTTGTGTTTCAATGAGAACCAAAGGCTACTTGCTCTCTGATGTAATGAAAGTCAGTATCAAAGTGCTTGGACCTTGTATGTAGAGCATGATTTGCACTGAGATAGATTGCAGAGAGATTGTCACACTTCAGTGGAGTTGCGTGATGTTGAGTGACTCCAAAGTCTCGAAGCAGAAGTGAAATGCAAGTAATGTCGAGGCTAGAGCTCTATACTCAGCTTAGGTGGAGGACCTAGGCACTGTCTCTTGACGCTTTGCCGGCCAGGAAACCATATTTGAGCCAAGAAAGATACAAAATCTAGTTGTTGACCTTCTAGTAGTTTTGTAACCAGCCCAATCGCTGTCACAGTAGGCAGAGAGAGGGAGCTGAATGTCTTTCTTGATGACTACACCCATTAAGATTTTTCCCTTCACATACCAGAGTGTCTTTTGTAGAAGCCCAAAATCAGATACCGTAGGAGAATGCATCATTTGGCAAATAAAATTAATTGCGAACTGAATTCTGGCCTGGTGATGGTCAAGTATTGGAGCTTTCCTGCCAGACTTCTGAAGTAAGTAGGCTCAGAGAGGGGAATAGGATCCAGATCATCCATCTTCAGTGGCAATGGTGTCGGCATTGGGTTACAGTTACTCTTCTGAGCTTGATGTAGGACATCATTAGCATAGGCAGTCTGATGTAGAAACATACCATCATAGTTTCTATGTGCTTCAACTCCGAGAAAGTAGCTCGGTTGTCCAAGGTCCTTCATTGCAAACCGCTTGTTTAAAGTTTCAAGCAACGATTGAAGAAGGTTATCACTGCTACCTGAGAGCAAGATATCATCAACGTAGAGAAGTAAGAATGAAGGATACTGCTCTACAATATCTATTCATGCATTTCACAACTTAGAACAGGTGTGAATTCGATATTGTTGATTTCGATATTGTTGATTTCGAAATGGGTTTAAATCTCATATATAAATTTACAAATGGTCATGAATTTCCTTAATTTCTTTCACTGCTGTAGTTCAGGTCAGGATACAAAATAGTCTCTAAAGTAAGTAAGAATATAGTATTTTTTGCTAAGAAATATAGTGTTTGCACAAAAATCTGAATAAAAGTTGAACTACCGTGGAGTCTCATAGCATTAATAAAAGAAAATTTTCAACAATTTATCAATGTAGAGAAATGAACCAAAAGATAAAAGTGATGAACAAAAAAAACGGTTAAAAATACAAACGTTCTTAGGTAATTTGATTTGTTCGACATCATCTACAGGAATCAACAAAAGGAGATACACAAAGATATCCTTTGAGAATCCTTAACACATACGTAAGGTATTTATACTTGTGTATACACTTCACATCTGTCAAGAAAACAAATGTGAAAATGAACTTGTGAATTTCCTTTATTACTCGAGTGGTGAAAGAGATCACCGTCTCAAGGTCTCCATGACGTAATCGGCATAGAGATCCCTACATGTAACAGAAGAGTTATTATTAAAAATTTGACTAGTTAGCCATGATACTAAGTTACATTGTATATGAAATAATATATAACAGTAAGTTTTATAAGAACGCTTACATGGAATGCTGAACTGCTTCATAGGCTGCGGTAGCAGGAAGGAAATCGTTAACAGCTACTTCCTTGTTCTCGTTTTTCTTATCTGTGACAAGAATCCAAGAATATGAGTCTCATCATATCTCAAAAGGTTGGAAGGAGATGAAGATTGAACACTCACAGTCTTCAAAGAAACGACGGATCTCAGCCAGACGATGAGGTGGAAGCTCCTTGATGTCGTTGTAATGACGATACTCTGGATCGTCAGCGCAGACAGCAATGATCTTGTCGTCTTTCTCACCCTTTTAACATAAAAACCGTCTAGTTTCAATATCTTTTGCTTTCATAAGGACATAAACATGCATTCAAGGATGCTTGTTTATCTAACCTGATCAATCATTGGCATAAGACCAATCGCTTTCGCTCGAAGAAAGCATCCTGGGATCACCGGCTCCTGTAGAATATATACAATGTATGATTCACATGGCATGAGTTTTCTAATAAGACAGGCTGAGAAGAAGCTGTGAAGCTGCTTTTCTAATTCAATTTCACGAGACCAAAGAGAAGTGATAGGTGAGACACATTTCTAAGCCTAGCTCACACTAACTGTTCTGTAACCGAGTCACAACATATCTAGTCTGCTACACTAAGTCCTAGACTACTGAACTTCTTCAAAGATTATCAGATGCACAGATGAAGCAATGTAATGAATTATAAACTACTCGGCATTTCATTGCAAAAAGAAAAAAAAAGATTACCTGCATGATGACAAGAACATCGATAGGATCATTGTCCTCACAAAGGGTACGTGGAATGAACCCGTAGTTGTGTGGGTACACGACAGATGAGTAAAGAATACGGTCCACCTAAGTAAAGATTATGTAATGTTTTAAACCATGGTATCGTCTTTAATAGCAGAAAGGAACATCAGAGAAAGTTATTGCAATGGAGCTAGTACCTTGATGAGACCTGTGGTTTTGTCGAGTTCATACTTAACCTTGCTCCCTTTCCCTATCTCAATCACCTATAGTCATACCTCCATATGATTATTTAATGATTCTCAAAAGGGATAATCTCAACGACAAAACCACATAAACAGGTTTCCAAATCAGGCAATAGACATCATTTAATATCATACAACTACTCAATCCAGATCTCAAGAGAAATATGTGAGCTGTTGCTGCGTAAATATCAAGAACGTTACCAAAATACTTACACAGTTGAAGATTATTGGAGCTTCAGGTCCTATCTCGAGATCATGCCATGGGTGTGCAGCAACTGATCTATGGGTCAATGAAGAAAGTATCCTCTCATTAAGAGGAGAAAGTGAAGACTGTTTATCAGCATAGTTTTTGGTAGCAGCAATCTCAATCGGTGGCGCCATATCTGCAAACAATGCACACATCAAACACAAAACCATAATATATTGCTGTTTTCCAACATAAACTCAGGGATCAATCTTGACACATGTAATGGAAACCATGTGTGTGTATGAGGGATATATACCAAAGTAGCTACACGTTTCCAAAGTTGAATACAAAACGCAATGCTTGACACAGAGACACACAACAAGGTTAAAAATCTTTTATAAAGGAAAGTTACAGAAACGTCCAAAGAAACGCATAAATTTTGTTTTGTAGCAGTTCATGGATCCTTCCTTAAATGTATCTACTACCGACAAAACCGTTCCCAAAACCAAACAAAAGATTCGATTTTTTTTTAATAAAAACAAAAAGAAGAAACATGGCACTTTTTTTTCTTTTTTTTTTTGGAGTATCAGTGTCTAGAAATGAAAGTGAACCTATTGAGAAAGTTCGAAACCCAGCTCAGATCTACATGTCACATATTTGTCATCAGAAAGAACAAACAATGAATGTATCGCGCATAGCTTATGCAGGCAGATTAAGACACCTACACCCTAAAAACCAAGTGCGAAGGAAGAAACATATATCCGATTTTAAGAATCCGTACCTGAGCTAAGAAAAAAAACCTAATCTCCAGAGCAAAAGAGTGTGGAACGAAGAAGAAAACACAAGCACAGATCTCGAGAAGCACCGAGAGAGATAGAGAGAAAGTAAAGGAAAGCTAAAGGAGAATGTAGCTGTAAGTTCCCGCTCTGTCTTTCTCTGCTATTTGAAGCCTCCATTGCTGTAGAAAAGGAATATTAAAAAAAATCTCAGGAGAATAAAATTAATAAATAAAATCATGACCGGAAAAAAAAACTAATATAGTATCTTTAAATTTGGAAATTCAAATCGAATATGGATACAGCGGGAAGAATATGTCCTGATCTGACGTGTAAAGATGTAATTGGATGATTGAGAGAGAGACATAGACGGAATTCCTAACGGCATGGGGTTAAGGTAAGGTCTGCTACACGTTTCATTGATATATAAACTCTCCGAATTGGGAATTGCGAGGACTCCACGTTAAGTCTCCGTTAACTACTGTTAATTGGAGAATATGCTCGAGGAGCCAGAGAGAGAGAGAGATTAAGATCGGCTGAGAGCCAGTGCACGGAACGTTCGTGTTTATGACAGGCAATTTATCTGTCGGTGGATTACAAACGGCAATTAAAAGAAAAGGATATGTAATCTTTCGAGTGGATATTCGTTTTCCTTTCCTCTCTAAAACATCACCCGAAATAGCTGGTGTTGATTGCATGTTTTTAAACTCATCCAGACGTAGAATTTCTAGATGTTACATACATTTATCGCTTCGTCGTCGGTCACATTCAAAAACTTGAACTTATGATTCGATAGTAGGATTAGCATTGAGATGTTACTATGACATGATTATTGTAGTAAAATCAAAGTAGTGCCACTAATATACACGTGGGTAAAGTAGAAATAGATAATTGATATCCAAAACAACTGGATAAGTGGATAAATCGGAGTTAAATGAAATAAACATATCATATCCCGCGAAATATATAAAGCAATCTACATTCAAAACAAATCTGGAACTATATATGATTTAATTTTCTTTTTGTCTCTAGAAAGTGTAATATGTACTACTTATCATTGCAGTTTGCTTTCCTTAATGTCAACGGAAACACACTTCGTATCCATCTATAAATGGGAACTGGATCGTCTTATTTCGAGAAGACAACATTCTCATTGGCTATGAGCAAGTGTCGTGTGGACCTGTCCGCAGGGGATGATCGGTGGATAGGATTGAGTGACGAATGCTCCATGCAGTAGATATATATGCTACGTTGGATCATTGTAGGAATATTCCTATCTACGTTTTCATTCAACAAATATGATTATTTCCTTCAAACCGAAGACAACAAAAAGTTTGACATATATCTTACCAATTTGTCAATCACCACGCTTTCACCTTTGCGTCAAATTGGAGTTTCTCTCAGGATTCTCTTATCTCGTTATTTTTTGATGTTGATTTACATAAGTGAAGGGATCCAAAACAATTTTTTTTTTTTTTGGGTCAAAGGATGGAAACATTTTATAAGAGCTTAACAAATTTTTACAGCTACAGTCGAACCAATTATCACCAGTTACTTGTACTTTATTGAAACATTACACTAAAAGATATATATGTTTTTCTTGTAACTTAAAACACTTAAATTTAATTATCACCTCAACCCACTTCTATTTCAATTTTTTTTTAATTCTATTGCAGACAATTTAATGTGTTCATACATTTTTTTTCTTAATTAGTTCATTTTTACTTTTCATATTTTTTATTTATTTTAATTAGTGAATTGAAGTTTTCTCCGAACAAAAACTGGATAATATCATTGTTGAAAGAAATAAATTATAAAATCATTAAATTTCGCATCAACTAAAATATCGAAATGATAATGTTTTTAGAAATTGAAAGTTTTGTATCATACTAAACTTGGCCATAGTTGAGGTTTATGCATACGAAAGCAACAAATAATTGTGATTGATTATGAATTAAGGAAACTGAGGTGAAAAACGCCACATACAAAGTTGGATCTTTAGTTTAGCCAAATATTGTTTTTCTTTAGGGAGCTTCATATCAAACCAAAAAATAGAAACATAATCAGATTGTTAAAAAAAATCAGAAAACATAAAAGCTTTTAAAAATCGTGAAATCGATTGAAAACATAATTCATGTAGTTAAGTGATTACATTGTTTTCAACGTAACTCTAATTCATTTATCTTGAATGTATCATGTTTTATTATATTTACCAAGATTTGTTTCTAAGAAAATACACATTATTGTCTATAAACTATGTCAATTTTATACCATGTCCAAAAATATTAACACAACGCCCACCATATTAGTTTTACATTCATTTATTTTTATTAGTAGAAGAAAGTAAGTCTGAGTAAAATATTTGAAAATAATACTAACACAAACTAAAACTGATTAAATATTCAAATGGATCTGAAAGTTTAATATCTGGATAATCAGACGGAATCCGATCTAAACTAAAATATTTTTGATAACGAAAATATCTAAAGCATAATTATATAACTTAAATATATTAAGTATTTTAAATTTTATATCTATTAGATATTTTTTGGACGTCCAAAACTGTTAGGTCTGTACAATTATAATATTATCACTAAGTGACAACATTTTAATTTCTAATTAATCCTTCATTTTCTCATATGCTCTAAATATATTTGAGGGTTTCTGAAATTTATTTCATACTTTAGCTTTTTAAAAACTGAATATTATAAAGTAATTATTCAGTGAATATTCATTAACTTTTATTTATAAATTAAAAAATTAAATTAGGATAGTAAAATTATTAAATTAATATATATATTTAAGTTGATAAAGTTAAAACAATAATACTTAGATAATTTATTGTATAAATAATCGGGTTATATCTGATATTTTACAACTGTAGGTTCTATGGTTTTTTCATCAAATAAATAAAATATTTCATTAAGAGATGGAATGAAGAATGATTTAACTTATTCAATATAAAGTTAAAAATGAATTTTGGCTAATGCAAAACGGGTACCATTACTTGATTTGCTAAATATTTACAGCAATGTCATTTTTTGACAACTACTACTGAATTTTATATAACAAATTATGAAAGTATAATTTAGGCAGATGAAGTCTGATATTTGATAAAAATAATTTTGTCAAATCAATTTACAAAAAATAAAAACTATTTAGTGAGGAAAAAATCCTTTACAAACACAATAGCACAAAAATGATATTATAAAATATTTCGAGGTTAAAAATAAGAACAAATATTTCTAGTAAGATAGATATTAAAACATAGATAAGAAAACTAATGAGAAAGTTAGTCAACATATTATCCAAATCCAAATATCAAACTGGAACCGAAACAAAAAAACTAAAATCGAAACAAGACCAAAATTTCCGAAAACCCAAAAGATTTATTATTTCTCAAACCCGAAAACCAAAACTAAAATCACAATCGAACCGAACAGGTATCCAAATATTCGAAGTATAATAAAAATATTAATTATCATAATATATAATATGATTTATAACTTAAAATATGCAAACCCCTTAATTACCGAAACTACCCCTAAGGATTTCTAGGGTTATTTTGGGTTTTCGAAGTTTTTTGAGATTTTTTGGCTTTAAACATGACTCAAACTATTTCTAATTCGGTTTCATTCCGGGTTTTACAAAAAAATATAAATACAAACCGAATCCAACATTACTCGAACTTAACCGATCTAGAAAATGTATGGTTCGTACACGGGTCCTAAACACCCCAACCCGAATAATTCAAAAATATAAATGTGAATCCAATCTGACATTACTCAAACTTGACTGATTCAAAAAATGTAAAGGATCCTAAAACCCAACCCAAATAACTCAAAAACTAAATAACCCGAAAAAACCTGAAATAAAACACGAACGTCTAACACGATAAGACGACAATATAAATTAATTTGAATTATAGACCTCAAAACATAAATATAAAAATTCAAAAACAAGATAGTAAGAATTCATAAATTGGAAAAAATAACAAAAAAATATCCCGCGCTTTTAAAATACGAGTCAAAATCTAGTTGATATTGAAAGATATACCATTCAGAAGCTACACTATGAACATTTAACATACTAGTTGATATACTTAAATTAAATGCTCTTAACAATATATATATATATATATATATGTGTGTGTGTGTGTGTGTGTGAATATAGATATATTTTATGCCTTGATGCATAAGGTAAGTCAATACATCAAAATCTCATAAACACAAGTTGAATCATATTTCTTCAACACATGTACACTAGAAACTTTATAAATTAATATTTTTTTCTGATCTCAAGTTTGGCTGGTTCAAAATATAACACAAGTCGATGAAATAATAAGATAATAACTTTTTAGAAAATTCTATGTAGATATATGATTTTGTTAAAATTATAAACTAACAATATATATGTATATATATATATATTCACAATATATGTTTGTATAAGTACAAACCAATCATTATATTGTCTTTTTTATACTCACAATAGAATTATCTTTATATTTCTTAACATTTAATATATTTTTATGAGGTTTAGTAAATTCATATCTAAAACATATTTAAATTCGGTGAGACATATACATACTGAATAATATAATAAAACTAAAATAAATGTAGCATTTCAAAAGGTTATTTAATGTATATACACTAAAGTTAGGTATATTTTTTTAATTTTAGAAAAAAACTATCATAAAAGAGAAAATATTAAAAATGAACTTTTTTTATAAACTAATAATTTAGTAAATTAATAAAATACCAAAGTCCTATTAACTTATAGAAATTTTACCAATGTCGAGTTAGTCTAGTGGTAAAAAGTTTGCGGTATGCTAACTTCGTGGTGGGAGAAACTATTTATAATCTTGGATTTTCCGGCAAAGAGGTGAAACTATCTTTTTATTTACCAAAACAAACTTATAGAATTTTTACTGTATATCATACTTGTAGCAATTTTGTTGGGTTGGATCATTAAAGTGAAACAGAACCATTATTTTCCATTTCTATCATACCCGGCCCAAGGCCTGCTGCTGTAAATCAGAAAACGGCTACGTATTAATAATTTGGTATCACAATTGAACCAAATCGAAACTAAAACCGAAGAGCACGCGCCCGGCCAACAAAGATCAAGATCCAACGGCGTAGATCTATTCCCTCTCCTCTCCAAAGAAAATATATTCAGAATCTTCTTCCTTTCGAAAAGGAGGAGGCGATCAGGAATAGTAAATTCAAAGGCCGTCCGGTTACTCTCAATCTCCGTTCAAACGATTCATCTTCTCCGATCAGATCTGGTACTTCTCCTTCCCGATCCGAATTCATCTCTCTCTCTCTCTCTCTCTCTCTCTCTTTTGCTTAGTGTCTTTTGTAACGTTTTGATTGTTTTGAATACCAGTGAATTGGAATCACGCGATGGCTGCTCCTCCTGCTAGAGCTCGCGCTGATTACGATTACCTCGTAAAGCTTCTCTTGATCGGAGACAGCGGTAGCTTTCTTCATCACATATCGTAACACTGCATTTTATTCAATCGATTTCGTTTCCTATTTATTGATATCGTGATTTGTCCTTGTTACGACGCCTTAGTCTTTTTTATTTTATTTGGAAGCATGGAGATGTCAGTGATCTGAGTTTTGGGAATTTCTGTTAGAAGAATTGAGAGACCTAATGTGATTTAGTAATAGGCCACTTAGATTTGAATTTCATCAGCTTAGACTTTGATTTCTGATATTGATATTTGGAGACCATATGATGTTCATCTTACTATCTACTATCTACCTATTTTAGTATTATGCTTGAGAAACTCAAAACGAATCACAACAGTGGATAAGACTAGTCTGGAGAAAAGAAAGAGTCATCGTTGTAGTTGGTGGGATAGCGTTGAGTTTTGGATGAGACTACAGTCTGATTTCGAGCTGATGTTTGTGTAATTATTTTCCTTTTTATTTATTTGATCATTGTGTGTGTTTCTGATTGGTGTGAGTGAGAGTAAACGTCTCAACCAGTAACGAGAACTCTCGTGGAGGTTTTTGTGACGCTTAGAATAGTCTTTAACTTTGTTCGTGTAACCACTACTCCTTTCCTTGAGCCATATTCCTTGTGTTGATTGCTGTGACTGTTTCACTATGTTCCAGTTTCTTGATCATTCCAGAGGTTTCTGCTTTTTCTAACTTTATCTTCCTCTTATCTCTTTTATGGACACATTTCGTGAATGTTTCCAGGTGTGGGTAAGAGTTGCCTCCTCTTACGTTTCTCAGACGGCTCCTTTACCACCAGCTTCATTACAACCATTGGGTATATGATATTACTTCATTACATGATGATGTATGTAGTTGTCTGCTCCCACTCAAGTTGAAATTTTATTGTTGGCAGGATTGATTTCAAGATACGGACTATTGAGCTGGATGGGAAGAGAATTAAGCTGCAAATCTGGGACACTGCTGGACAGGAGCGCTTCAGGACTATCACAACTGGTTTCTCTTTTGATTCCTCTTACTCTTATATATGCATTCTCTTTTCTTCCTCACTATGGATTACTTACCTAAGTGGGTTCTTCTCATTACAGCATACTACCGTGGAGCCATGGGCATTTTGCTTGTGTATGATGTCACCGATGAATCATCTTTCAACAGTAAATATTCTCTTTTACTTTTGAACTTGCAGTTTTATTATGCTCTTCCATCTATTTACCATGTGTTATTTATAATCAAACTTTGTTTTTCTTTTCTGTCCATTGTTTTTTTTTTCGATTCCAGATATCAAGAATTGGATCCGTAACATTGAGCAGCATGCTTCTGATAATGTCAACAAGATTCTAGTGGGGAACAAGGCTGATATGGATGAAAGCAAACGAGTCTCTTTCTCCCTCGCTCTCTTTACCTCTTCCCTTGTATCTTCCAACTAATTTGTACATGATTGTGTTTGGCTAACACACTGATTTGTTTTGTTTTCCCAGGCTGTTCCAACATCTAAGGGCCAAGCTCTCGCAGATGAATACGGAATCAAGTTTTTCGAGACTGTACGTTCTGTTTCTGTGTGTTTGTTACATGTCAACAAGATATAGGAAAGGTCTCACTTTTCATTTTGGTTAACGTTGATGAGTTTGCTTTTGCAGAGTGCCAAGACCAACTTAAACGTTGAGGAAGTTTTCTTTTCAATTGCTAAAGACATCAAGCAAAGACTTGCGGATACCGATGCCAGGGCTGAGGTTCGTTGAGCTTTACAAATTTATTTACACTGCCATCCATCATCATCATCATAATTGGAGGAATAGAGTAATAAGTAATCATATGATAAGTCCAGGAGTATTGACATTGTCGATTTTCATTTTTTTTTTTTTTGTAGCCACAAACAATCAAAATCAACCAATCCGACCAAGGTGCAGCAGGGACATCTCAAGCTACTCAGAAATCAGCATGTTGTGGTTCGTAAAAAACGTGTCCACGACGCCATCAAAGGAGAGAATCTATGTGCTATGGTGTTTTCTACATATTCTTTATAACTCTTCAGACTTAGTACTCATTGCAGGAATCGAAATAATTTGTTTAATGAATTTGTGTATACATAGATTACATTAAAGAATGAAGTAATGTTTGACAAGAGAAATTACAAAACCTAAGTGATATGCAGAAAGAAAAACTAGTTTACAAACTTCAAATCAACCAAATTCTTCCCAAACACATATACAAGATCATTCTCCAATGGAGTTAGATTCAAATCCAAGCACTTGCTGCTATTGCATCGGTTCAAAATCGGATAAACCGAAGAAGAGAGAACCGGTTGATCGGTTATCATGCTCGTTCTGTGCTTTCTCATGTGCCCACCTAGAGCTTGACCTGACCCAAACATTTGACCGCAGAATGAACACTTATGCGTATCATTTTCATTGTTACGATGCTTAACTTGTTCTTGGTCAACGTTCAACTTAGGTTTCTTGTGGCTAGCTCTATGACCTCCTAGAGCTTGGAACGAATCAAACTTTCGGTTACATGTTTTGCATTGGAAGTGGTTATCGTTGGTTCTGCTTCCGGTTGATTGCTTTACCTCTATTTGCTTGACCACGAAACTCCGAGATAACATCATGAGACCTTTTACTATGTCTATATCTGTGATGGATTCTTCGTAATCGGACCGGTCTCTCTTCATGTTTTTACGGTTGATTATGTCTCGAGAAGAAAAAAGAGCAATTGAGAGAATGTACAAATGAATTAGGTTCTGGTTGGTTTACCTATAGAAACATGAGAAGAAAGCGCAGCTGCCAATTGTAAGATAATAACAAAGATTACAGAGTCTTTTATAAGCTAAATAAAGAACGTTTCAGAGATTTCAACTTTTTGTACTGGACCCAATTAAAGTCGTTTAAATTCCTATTCAAATAAATTAAGTAGCATCACTGGTTTGACTAACACAACATGTTAATATCATATTTTATCTGGTTAAAGAGAATTTGCGTCCAAAACATAATAAACAAAAATAGTATTAATATCATTATTTTTAGTACCACATTTATTATTTCATTACAATATACATCTGATTTTATACCTGGTTTCACTATTTTTTTTCCCAAGATCTATTTGTTTCTGTTTTTTTTTTTCTTACTAAAATATCAATTAATTTACATGATTAATAGTAAACTGTATAACTTATAAGAACTGAATTTCAGATCTTTTGGTGTAAAATATTCAATGAACTCTTAAAAAAACAGCTGGTCTAAAGGTGTTTCCAATATTGTATCTCATTAGTTAGTTGCACATTGTTATGTTGTTGGCTTCCAAATTAGTAAGCAAACACGTTATCTTTTATTGACTCTGCACCTAAATGAGCACGTTGGTATTTACTTTTTGTAAAGTAAACGAAAAGTTAAATGACTGCTTCTCAAAGAATCAAATTCTGACAAAAAAAGGAATCAAAGTCTGACAACTACTCTTTGGGACACTCTTTGTACGCGGTGTCTATAGACTACAATATTTACTTATTACGTACTGGAAGTGTACACTACATGCATGCATACGTAAATATACGTCATCGGTGATGAAATCATGGTGGCGGCTAAACCGGATTCAGATAATGGCTAGACTTTTAGACTAAAGAGTTGAAATTTTGAAAGTCAACTGGATTTTTAATTGGACAAACGACATTTGTAGATAACCCACGTTTTGTTATTATCCTCTCACACAGCTTAATTTTAACCCACTAGTTTTTCCTTTGTATATCACTATCAAGCATCGTATTCGTGTGATAAGCTTTAATATTTTACGTTAAGACAATTTTTTTTTTTTGTTCAAAACGTTAAGACAAATTAAATTGAAACAAGTATCAAAAATGTTGTAGTGATCAGAAATTCGGTGATTTGTCTCCGTTAGATTAATACAAGGCGCCTCTTATTAGTTTTGGATCTATTTTACAAAATTTGCAATATTGATTTTTCAAACTTCATATATGATACTTAATATAAATAAATTTTATTACATTACAGTTTTGTAAGATGCGAAGTTTTTCTAAGAAAAAAAGAAGATGCAAAGTTTTTTTAAAACACTGATTTATATTTATTTTGAAGGCTACACTGATTTGTATTCTTATGAAAATATTACATAAAAGACTTTATAATCGCCAATTATACATTTTTTTCGAAGGATAATCGCCAATTATACATGTCCTATGAATATTAAACGTGTGATAGTTCTTCCTATTTTAAGCGTTGCTAAAAAAAAAAATTTAAAGCCTTTTCCATTAACCAAGATAATTGTTAAATAAATTGTATTTTATAGAATTTTAGATCCTTGTCATGCATAAATGCGTTAATGAACCTTTAATTTAAGTCTACACATTTATCGGGAATGGAAACCCATACCGAACCAAAAAATAAGGTTCAGTTCAGATTTGGATCATATCTATTATCTTAGGAGATCTTATATTTGGACTTTAATCCTATGTTACATGGAAACAGAAACGGATACGCGGAAGTGGAATCGTATGGAAGCGCGGAATCGAGATTTTGAAAAAAAATAGGAAGCGGATACGTGTTGGAAGCATATATCCAAATATACATATATATATATATATATATATATATAAAAGAAATTTTTATAAAATTTAGGACTAAGAACTATATGATTTTAATTTAAAATAAAACATTTATTCATTATCATAATTTTAAATGATTGCATATTATAATTAGGAAAATGTGGATAAATTAAGTTTATAAACAAATATTACCAATTAGTTAATTTTTAAATTTTATAAATAATTGGTACACCATATTTGAATATATATATATATATATATATATATATATATATATATATATATATATAATAAAAACAGTGCATACATATGATTTATAGTATTAATATTAGTATTTACATATATATATTCTCACTCTATATACTATAAAAACATAAAAAATAATTTTATATTTTATTTATTTATATATGATACTGTGTTTTTAAAACTGGAAGCGTGATTCCAAAGGGGAATCGTAAACTTCCAACGTGTTTTTATATAGAATATTTTAGAAACGTTTTGGAATCGAGATTCCGCAAGCTTCCACAAGGTTCCGATTCTGATTCCGGTTCCGAAGCGGGAAGCGCACGCCGGATGAAGCTTCCATGCAACGCAGCTTTAATCTATAACTAGATTTCGACCCACACAACCGTGCGGGTATTTTAATACAAAAATATTTGAAATTATATAATAAAATTTATCAATAAATAAGTATAATTTGATTCTGTATGCTATCCAATTTTATAATAATTTTTTATGACTTATAATATTATTCATATAAAATTTATAAATTTGTATTTTTGTAACAATTTTTAAAAACATTATTATGTAAGATTACAATTTATATATTTTGTTTTATTTCTAAATTTGAAATCTATGTAAAAATTAACTAAGTTGGACTTACATAATACATAAACAAAATTTTGGAATATTGTTAAAAGTATTTTACATAATTTTAATTTTTTTGTTTATAAATAAAAAAGGAATTGAAATTTTAATTATATTTTATGATAGTTAAAATTTTAATCAAATAATTTTTGAAACTATATCTTGAAAAAGATTCTAAAAGATTTTTAAAAGATTTTGTTAGATTTTATTAAAACTATTTATTTGTATTTCAAACAAAAATTAAAGATATGAAAAGATATTATAATGTTATGTAAAATTTTATAAAACTCTAAAGATGGTCCAAACTAAAATATCACACATGAAGTGAGTTATGATTCTCTTTTAATATAATATAGATGAGACAAATGCCTCCAACAACCAAAACTAATCTATCATAGATCAAGACTTGCGAAATTACCCTTTTGCCATTAATGAAAGTTAAATGTGAACCATTAGATCAGTTGAGAGATGTTCTAATCTTGGCCGTCGAATTTTCTTCTTCCTTTCTTCTTCTCTCGCCTGGGTCATTAACTCCCTCCATCTTCTTCTTCTTCATTTCTTCAACCACCCACACGAAAATTTATTTCCTTCACCAACCAAACTTCTTTTCTTCAACTTTTCATCCACAAACCTTCAGTTCTGTTTCGTAGGATTCTTCTACAACTGAAAACGCCTTGAAACAGCAAATGTGCCTCGTCCTCTCTCCCTAGCAAGTGTATACTCTCTCTCTCCTTCTCTCTCACTCTTCTCTGCCTCTCTTCTTTTTATTTGTTTTCTGTTTCCTTTTAGTCCCATAATATGTATGCTACCGTTATGAGTGAAGTTCCAATGTTTAATATAACGTTGTTATAGTATGAATCATGATATTGTAGATTAAATAGTTTTTGACATTGGTATAACTAGTACAACTTTCAAGTCGAAAGTCATTAGGAAACGGTTCACTGGTACAACTGACGTTGAGTAACACCAGTACAACTGACATGACTAGTATTGGTTATACGAAACGTTTAACTAGTAAACCTGGTACAACTTCTTAAAAGTAACACTAGTACAACTAAGGAAACTAGTTTTAGTGATATTGGTTATACGAAACGTAAAACTAGTAAACCTGGTACAACTATAAGTAACATTGAATAAGAGTATTGGTAAAACTTGTATAACTCTTAATAGTCATTTGACAAGTGAACTTAGTTTACCTAGTATAACTAGTATAACTTATAATGATTATTACATTAAACCAGTCTAACTGGCAATACTAGTATAACCCGTATTTTAGCGACAGTATAACTCGTATAACTGATATAACTTGTAAGTTTTAATCTTGGTTTTAACTTTTTTCAGGAACTATGGATGGTAGTGGATCTGTGGTGATACATTTTGATCATGGTGAAGACCAAAATATTTCTACATTGGTGATGAAAGGAAAATATGAGGAGATAACTTATTCTCACTTGGTTGATAGAATAAGCAAGAAAATGAATATCGATGTAGCTGCGACAAAGCTTCAACTGAGTTACTATCCCCTGGTCGTGAATAATAAGAGGCCTAGCTATATTTTGGAGGATGAAGATGTTTTAGGATATTTAATGAAGGTGGGTAGGAAAAATCGGCGTAGTGTCTTGCATGTGGAGTTTTCCGAAATCATCTCAAAAAATCAGAGTGATGGCAGAGCTAATGATGGTATGGTTGGAGTTGAGGAGTTGGCAATTATTCCTCAAAACCAATCAGATGGGTATAATCATGAGGAGTTGGCAATTATTCCTCCAAGACAATCAGATAGGTATGAGCATGAGGAATGCAATGAAGAGGGTGATGAAATGGATGATAGAGAGGATTTGCCGGCTGTCACACCATCTGTAGACACAATTGTCAATGCTGAGTGGGATGATGGTATTGATATGAGTTTGTATCAAGAATTTGCGACTAAGGAAGAGTTGAGGAATTTAGTGGACGCAGGAGTGCATTCGAGTTGTTTTGAGGTTAATATAATCAAGTCGAGTCCTACTGTTTACGTATTGAAATCTCGTGGGGTTGGATGCAGATGGTATTTACGAGCTGCAAGGTTGAAAAACTCGGCCTTTTTCAGTGTTAGAACGTATAGAAAGATGTATACGTGTACTCGGGGAGGGGGAAGTGTAACCAAGAGGGGGAAAAGAGGAACACCAAGCTTGGTCGCATCAGTGGTGCACGAAGATTATCCAGGCCAATAAAAGACTCCGGATCCAAAGTCTCTCATACAGTTGGTGAAGCACAAAGTAGGTGTCATGGTTTCATATTCTACAGCTTTGAGAGGAAAACACAAAGCTGTTAGTGATTTGCGTGGTAACCCTCAGGAGAGTTTTGCTAGACTTCCATATTACTT